TGTTCTCTTGTAATGACTGCGGAGATAAATATATTGGCGAAACGGGTGGACCATGTACGTTCGTATAAAAGGACATCTTATCGGTAAATTTAAAGCTAAACGAATACTTTACTAGGCGCATACAGGACACAGGGATATAACGGGGAAGATTTTAAAGTTAACACCCTCGCACAGCAATCGAAAACACCAGAGAGTAAAGCTCTCGAAGCATTATGCATAAATTGCAAGCATCCGAAGATAAACCACAACGACGAATGCCTCATGATCAAGCGAAATATCGGACAGTTTTTAAGACTGTTATTCCAGTGTGAGATGCACATTGCGCTTCGATGTGATCTCTGTGCAGTTGGCTTCCACGTGACCTATTCAGTGGAAGACTCATACAAAGCCGTGAATGTGCAAGGAAGCTGTTCTGTGTTCAATATGATTGGAATTTTGGTTTAGCACTTTCTCTGCTTGGTTATGGAGGTGTTTGGTTGGGTAGATTGCGGCCGTCTTGACCTTTCCAGGCTCGGAGGAAGGTCAAATCCGCCGAAACGTCGGCTTGTTCCTGAATAAAGAATAAAATAACACCTCGCGTTTGCTCAAAAAGGATATAAAGAATTACTTGATCAATGCCGAAGTTAACAGAAAGTCGGTCGTGGGATTTGTGTTTTGAATTTGGCCGCATTTCATCCTTTCCGCGAGAAATAAAATCTTTCGTGATGGAGGCGATGGTTCGGTCCCCGTGTAGAATTTTCAGACAACGGGCTAGGAAAACTTTCGATTTACTGTGAACGTGGTCTATTTCGTAGTGGCCTTCTCTATTAGGACACTTCTACTTACAGCAATGAATGTGAGACTTCAGGAACTGAGATTTATCATGAATGTCCTTGGTCGTCGTGATAAACTCAGACGGCTTCTCGTCCGGCTCGTTCTATTCTATTCTGTTGGTCCCAATACGACGTTCTTCAGAGTCGGATTTTTGCGTTAAAATCTCCATTAATGACTAAAAATGCATGGTCTTTTCTGTAGAACTTCTCCAACTTAATTTAAACGCTTCGATTTCGTCTTCGTCAAAGCTTGATGTTAGTGCGTAAGCGACGAAGACTGTCAGAGTCGGTATTGATCCACATCCCTTAAATCGAATAAAAGCCCCATTCCGGTTGCTAATTGCTCGAATGAATCGAAGTTTATAGGCAAACTAGTGTTAATGCGAATGCCGTCGCCTCGTCTCCTCTATGATCTCATGTTCCCAGAAACAGTTCCGCTCGGTTATTATGGAGGGCGTTTGAAGTGCGACGTCTTCTCATTTCACCCAGTCCAATGACGCTGTGCCTCATCGTTTCTTTCTGCATGATGAATTCCTCTATTCAGGGCTCAGATGCAAGCGATGGTGCATTATAGGTACAGATTTTCACCTTAGTCTTTCAAGACTTAGGCAGAATGGAATGGCTCATTTTAGCAGTCTTCCCGTATCCTACCCCCATGCTCAGCCGTATTTAGGATTCCTTCGGAGTCAGGGGAACGAGGCCCACTTATTTTACTGTGTTTAGTGTTTAAAGCACAATTGTAGCTTACTGAGTTCGGAGCGTGGGAGCTGGTGTACTCATGCATATTGTTGGACTCTCTTGGAGCGAACCAGGAGCCTATTTGTGGGAGGCAACTCCTAATTCCGCCCTATTCACTTCGCACTCCTTTGATCGATGATTTTCACCGAATTGAATCGTAGAATACAATCCACTTAAACGAGAGCACTACCATGCACACATGCACGAATATGTTTTCGCAAACGCAGAAGATATTTGTCAAATAAAAGCAGCAGAGAAAGGAGTCCATCCCCTGAGTCCACCTACATTTCAACGAAGCGTAACGTTGCTTTTGGTCAGCAATTAACCCTCCATGCGCTAATTCAGAACGCATCACGTTACATCGCGACGAACTGGCAAGAGGTTGCTCTATAAGGGAAGTCCTTTCTTAAAGGTAGAGGCGGTAAAATAATAGAATGAAGCGTTAACAAGGATAAACATTAAGTATAAAGTGGAATGGGTTGCAGCACAGTCAAAAGAATTTGAAATCTATTTTCGCTACTTTCGGTTCACACAAGTTCAGTACATAACAACTCATTAGTCGATCCACTTCCACGATATAAATGTATCATATGTCTTTTTTGGTAGCTTTCATTCCTTGCTCCATAATTTATAAATCTCCTGTGCAGTATCTTAGATCTATCCTCTTAGATAAACTCGGTTGTTCAGAAATTATTGGCTGATTTTAACCTGAATTTTTTTAAACTGGTTATCATGGCCAAGAATAATCAAAACAAAAATTTTGCTGTTTTCACGTTCCAGTTTCCAATTCTACACTAAACACTTAATTAAATAAAATCCTGAAGCATTCCACTAAGTTATCGAGATACTTGGAGAAGCAGTGGTCGGCAGGCGTGAGCTTCGACGACTATGGTGTGTGAAACAAAGCGAGCTCAGCTCGTTCAACCTTTGCTACGTCGGTAGTGCAACGTGTTGCCATACTTTACTGTGGAAAAGTACTATTCAATTCGTCCGGCATCCACATGATGAATGCCTTCGAGTTTCCAATTTTCTTTAGATTCCTGGAATCAGTTCAGATGCTTATGTGGGGCTTCTTCGCAGTTTAACGAACAGCTGATTGTTTTAACCTTTTCATATACTGCCTATTCTTTTTAACGACAGGGTATCTTGCGAAATATAGCTTCTACAATGCTGAGATATTTGCAAAGCTCCGGACCGCAGGCGTATACGGTGGGGAGCAAGTGCGCTATTGTCCTTTCCGGGAAGTAACGCGGCAACACGTATCATGAAGCCTTTTTCTTTAGCGAGTGTTTTTTATTATTTCGGTCTTTGCTTAAAATAAACAAAAAACCAAAAAATTATTTTTGTTTTTTTCTCTTAACTGGGTCTCTGGGAGAATAACAGCACTGGGTCGATACATCGGTAGGCTACCGCGAGTCATTGTAAAGGCCAAAAATGCATTCAGTCACCTCCAAACGATGCTTAATTAGGTCGACACATCACTCATGGATTGATCAACGCCGAGAGCTTTATCCTTTATTCTTTATCGCTCTTTTAAACGGGCTCTTTTGCGTGACATCTGGGACTTGACATGCAAAAATTTTAATGTTTTTTTGACATCTGGTTCGTTCCCTACTCGTGTTCTTTCCCATTAGTGGTGAACAAATAAACATTTGTTCTGGTCTACAGTTCTCAATAAATTATCTATATCTGGTTGAAATACTATGTTTCATATCGCTGTACACTATTTTTTGCTTTATCTCTCCCATTAGGAATTAATTTAACGTGTCTTATATTCGTACATGTTTTTCAATTACTCATCTTCCCTCAAAAATGTAGGCAGCATATTGAAATCAAATGGTTTATATCTAGCCAGAATATACATTTTAGCGCTGCTATAATCCGGAGGCGGACTGAGCAATTTAATTAAGAAAGGAAATACCAATTTCCTATTGGACACTGACAGCATTGTTCCCATAGTTTTTACTATTTGAAACCAACATTGTTATTATGTGCACGTTCACTTATCGGTTATGTAGCAGTCTTTCGGTTATTTTTGTCGACATCTCATTGTTTCTTGAGAACTTCTCCCACTTTTAATCATTCCCTTGGATACGCCTCAGTTTTATGTTTACTCTCGTTGATCAAAAACCATTCTAGCCGTTTATCTCCACTCTTTTAGACCATCATATATAAGCGTCACCACCATTGGTCTGATTGGATTCATCTAAATGAATTCTTCAACTTCCGAGCAAATATAAACCGCAGACCCATTGCTGAACAGTGAAGAAACCCATCGCGCTACCGCAATACAGCAGCGAAAACGGTGGTCGCCGCTATATCGCGGTGGAACAGTGGTGTCCTTCCCACGTCATTTCAAGTTTCGGTAACAAGTGAATACGAGTACTTACTGAAAGTGAAACACTTATAAATACCAGCTGCTTAGACTGCTGTTGCTTTTAAACCATGTTCTTTTCATTTTGTTCCAAAGGCGTTATTTGTTGAAGTGAAAATATTTCCAAACGAATCTTATTCAGAATAACGTTGAAATATGAGCACTAAGAAATAAATGCTTTTATCTAAATAATATCCATTAATCAACGAAGCCATCGTTTACGATATTTTTCTTGAAAATTCGGATTGTTTTCTTCTGAAACTGTTATCGAAATTTCACTTCTTGAAAGCTTGAGTTAGCAAATAAACTTTTTGGTCATTTCTCTAGTTCCAGGCAGTTTTTGCGTGAGACTAGTTCTTCCCTGAGGTTAAGCTATTCGACTGGTGAATCCCTAGCAATAAATGTAAAATGTAATTTTACCAATAATAATGATCTGCGTCCCATAGAAATCCTACTTTCTATTTGTTGAGGAGTTGGGCTGCTGCATTATTCTGGAGCGGTCGGCCATTTTTTAATCCCTACTTTCATTTCTGTTATCGATTTTCATATTCGTTTCCGAATCCACTAGTATGAAGAATGATCGAAAGTGCTTAAGAATGCCAAAAGATACTTCCTCTAGATCATCAATTTTGATATCTGTTTTGATATTTTGTCCAAATCAACTAATGAAGGACCAATCGAAGGAATCGATAGCAAAAGGATAGATAGATCGCATATCCTCTAGAGCACTGATTAACGTTGAATGCTTTATCCGTTATGCTTCCAATTTATCCAAGTTCCCATGGAATTTCTGGATTTGCACTTGTCATCATGACATATTTGGGCTCATCACAGTGGAATTTTTAATTGCCTTTTAGTTTCAAAAGCATTGCTTCCTTTTAAATTGTGTCTCTCAACGTTCGATTCTTAAAACACGCAAAATTTATTCCCTTGATCGTCCATATTATGTTTTTTCCTTAAATATCCACGATTTTTCAAGATGAATTCGACATTGTGTGAAGACACTTCACTTAGTATCAATATTGAGTGGAAAATTGGTGGGTGCTACTAATTCCACTTTGCTTTTGTTATTATGCTTGACAAAGATTTCTTTCTTAGTACTGGTACTCGCCTACTCATCTGTTGGCTTCACCTCTCTCGTAGGAAACTTGGCTGTGCTAACTATCGTTGTTTGTAGAAAAGAAATGCGTACTGTCACCAATATTTTCATCAGTAGTGTCTCCACTGCGGATTTGGTAAGCACAGTATCTAGGTCATTGAAAACAACATGTGAAAACAATAAGCATACAAAAGATCTTTTTCTATGATCTGTTTTTTAAACCATATTTTACTGTAAAGTCTTTTACACAGTACTTGACAGAGTGCACAATTACTTTATGGCTTAAAACGCCTTAACCAAATCACGTTTAGCCGACGACTTTTTCAACTATGACCATGGGAAAAATGCTTTCCTAACCGTTTTAGACGGTATTGTGCAGCATTTCCACTACTAAGCAGAATTGAAATTGGTAGTTTGTGGCACTTCACACTAACACTCGTTGCTATGTAAAAGCAAAAACAAATGACAAAAAATAATAGAGAACAAGAAACAACGTTTTTGTGGTCATTTGAAAGCCCAAAAAAAAATGTGAATATTCCGAGTATAACCATGCAGTGGATGGGTTGCGCGGGGAAGATGATGCCGTCACGAACACGATTCCTGTTCGACCGTGCACGGAAGCACCATGCCTCTCATCCATTCGGAGCTGAGAAACTGGTACAAGACTTGCTTTGAAGCAATGTTCACTTCCTACGATCCCAGCTCGCATAACCGTTTTTTAAGCTAATGATAATCTAAATAATATCCGAAACAGGAAATTCAATCTTCATCGAACCTTTGAATCTATAAAATTCGCACTTTTATTAAACTATGTTTCAAACGGTGGAAGATATGATGGTAATGGCACATTTTGCTTCCACTCGCGGTAGAACACTGTTGTCATTGCAGTTGATTACATCCGTTTCTCTGTGGGCAACTCCGCTTGCTTATTTCCAAAGAGTTTGGAATTTCGGCCAAGTAATGTGTTATATTGTCTATGTTATACAGGTAAGAAGTTGCCTAAAAACAATATTCATGTAAGCAAGATAAACTAAGAGTTTTTCAACATTTCAACACGGATTCATTCCAACAATGTTCGCATACAAGGCGGGCAGTTGCGGGAAGGCACGTGATAGAATTGAGAAAAGTGTAGTCGGTCATTAACCTAGGGAGCTTCGTTGATGTGGGTTCCACTAACTCTGGCAGCAATCGCTGTGGATCGCTATCGGCTAGTTGCTCAGCCGTTTCTTCAACCAATGTCGACAAAGTGCTGTTTCGCCTGTATTACCAGCATATGGCTATCGGCTTTCGCTGTACTTTCGCCGATGCTTGCCAATGTTCGTTTCTTCGAAATCAGCCCATGTTATAAGGTACGTTATTGCGACATGCTTACCTTACAAAGAAAGTAGCGCCAAAGAGATATAAAGAAAAAAAATACAAGATTATATTCTTCGTATTCTTGTTGAGCAGACGTGAGGTGCTATTTTATTCCTTATTCAGGAACAAGTTGACGTTTCGGCGGGTTTCGCCTTCCTCAGAGCCTCGAAAGGTCAAGAAGACCGCAATCTAGCCGGCCAAACACTTCCATATCCAAACAGAGAGTCCTAAACCAAAATTCCAATCACATTGAACACAGAATAGCTTCCTTGCACACTCACGGCTTTGTATGAGTCTTCCACTGAATACGTCACGTGGAAGCCAACTGCACAGAGATCACATCGAAGCGCAATGTGCATCTCACACTGGAATAACAGTCTTAAAAACTGTCCGATATTTCGCTTGATCATGAGGCATTCGTCGTTGTGGTTCATCTTCGGGTGCTTGCAATTTATGCATAATGCTTCGAGAGCTTTACTCTCTGGTGTTTTCGATTGCTGTGCGAGGGTGTTAACTTTAAAATCTTCCCCGTTATATCCCTGTGTCCTGTATGCGCCTAGTGAAGTATTCGTTTAGTTTTAAATTTACCGATAAGATGTCTTTTTATACAAGCGTATATGGTTTACCCGTTTTGCCAATATATTTATCTCCGCAGTCATTACAAGAGAACAGACAAACTGTACCCGAGCTCGTGCAATCACCGTCTCTACCATTAGGCAAATTGTGCAATTTTGTGTTGCACATAGACGGCTATGTAGGCCGTTAGAAACTAGCTGGCGCCTAAGAGTACTCGGTACCACTTCAACTACGTTTACCGAATTCTCTAGACCCGCTCTTCTTAAGCAGCGTTTTATTGTTGCACTTCCATCATTTGAGATGAAGGGTAGTATAAAAAAGACCATTTTATCGCTAGAGTTGTCGTTTGGGGGCCTAGGGTTTTTTCTACACCTATCCCGAACTACAGTTTCGTAGCCATTAGAAACGGCTATTTGCTGTGCCATGTTCCGGGACTCCTCTCTCTGCTCTCTTCCGGTGCACACGTTGGTTGCTGTTCGAAACATGTTTCTTACCTGTGCCCTTTTCGTGTGAGAGTGGTGAGAGGAGAGGTAATGAACCAAGATGTTTTTACTACTTGGCTTTCGGTACCATTTCGTAATGTAACCGTTTTCTGACAGATTAATTTGGACGTTCAGGAATGGAAGCCAGTTTTTTTTCGGTTTCTCTCGGGCGAGCTTGATAAACTCTGACTGTTGGTTCAACAACTCCATACATTTGACCATTTCTCTTGTGTCGAGCCAAGGACAAAATAGTCATCTATATATCTACAGTAAAGTAAGGGCTCGAGATCGGTCACTGGTGCTTCCACTTTAGACATAAACGCAATGGCGAGACTTGGTGCCAGTCGTTGTCCCATTGCCAACCCTCTTATTTGAGCGTAGTACTTTCCGGACTGTCTGAAGTTTGAGTAGCTCAAGCATTCTTTTGACAGTGTCATCAACTGCTCTATCTTAAAGCCATACATGTTTATTTCTTCTTCGCGCTGTATAAGGAGTTCGAATATGGCTTGCGTAGCGGAGTCAATCGACGCGTTTGTATAAAGGGCGGTAACGTTAAAGGACTCCATCACGTACGAGCTGTTGGTCTGCGCAGTACGTAGACAAGGAATGCTAGTTTAAAACCATTAGTTATCTCTCAACTAAAAGTTGACTTACCAACGTGCCCCGTCTTGTACTTGCTTACAAAAACTCATAAGTTAGTAACCAGCAATGATCGTGCGTCTGCCGATCCATCATTGTTTAAGGTTAGCCCTATCATTAGCTGTGTAGACGGGCCAACGGACAGGATAACATGGTTTTTAACCCTAATATTTAACCAGTTGTTGAAACACATTCCAGCCCATCTTACGAATACCCAGATGTTTCTGGATCGTCTACGTACTGCGCAGCCCAACAGCGCGTGCGTGATGGAGTCCTTCGACGTTACCGCCCTTTATACAAACGTGTCGAATGACTCCGCAATGCAAGCCATATTTGAACTCCCTATACAACACGAAGAAAAAACAAACATGTAGATAGATAGATAGATCAGATGATGATACTGTTAAAACAATGGTTGAGCTGCTCAATCTTCAGACAGTCCGGAAAGTACTACGCTCAAATAAGAGGGTTGGCAATGGTACAACGACTGGCTCCAAGCCTTGCCATTGCGTTTATTTCTAAAGTGGAAGCCCAGTGACCGATCTCGAGCCGCTACTCTACTGTAGGTATGTAGACGACTGCTTTGTCCTTTGCTCAACACAAGAGGAAATGGACAAATGTTTCGAATTGTTAAACGCACAGTCAGAGTATATCAAATTCTCCCGAGAGAAACCGAAAGAAAACTGGCTTCCATCCTGAGCGTCCAAATTGACCTATCTGAAAATGGCTACATTACGAAGTGGTTCCGAAAGTTAAGTAGTAAGAACATCTTAGTTCATTACCTCTCCTCTCACGCCTCTCACACGAAGAGGGCTCTTGTAAGAAGTATGTTTCAAACACCAACCAACGTGTGCACGGGAAGAGAGCAGAGAAAGGAGTCCCGGAACTTGGCACGGTAAATAGCCATTTCTAATGGCTACGAAACTGTAGTTCGGGATAGGTGTAGAAAAAATCTTAGGCCCCCAAGCAACTACTCTAGCAATAGAAAGGTCCCATTTATCCTACCCTTCATCTCAAATGATGTAAGTGCAACTATAAAACGCTGCTTAAGAAGGACGGGTATAGAGAATTCGGTAACGATAATTGAAATTCCACCGAGTAATCTAAGACGCCAGCTAGTTCGTAACCGCCTAAACGACCGTCTATGTGCAACGCAAAATTGCATGCTTTGCCCCAATCGGAGATACGGTGACTGCATGAGTTTGGGTGCAGTCTATCTGATCCCTTGTAATGACTGCGGAGATAAATATATTGGCGAAACGGGTAGACCACTCTGTGCCCGCATAAAAAATACCTAGTCGGCAAACGTAAACCAAATACCCCGCTAGGCACGCATAGTACCCAGAGACATAACGGGAGGACTTCGAAGTACGGGTCAGGATCCTCGCACATGAATCGAAAACTCAAGCGCGCAAAACTCTCTAGGCGTTCCGAACTAATTCCAAGAATCCGAAAATGAACCGTAGAGAAGAATGCCTATTTATCACGGGTGATATTGAGCAGTGTATAAGCCTGTTATTTTGATGGGAGGGGCACATAACGCTTCCATGTGAATTCTGTGCGGTTGGTCTCCACGCGACATACTCAGTGGAAGACTCATAGAAAGCGGTGAGTGTGCAAAGAAGCTGTTCTGTGTTCTATATGATTGAAATTTTGCTGTAGTCTATTCTCTCTTTGGTTATGGAGATGTTTAGCCGAATAAATTGCTGTCGACTTTAGCTTTCCAGGCTCTGAGGAAGGCGAAATCCGCCGAAATGTCAGCCTATTCGTGAATAAAGAATAAAATAACACCTCATGTTTGCTCAACAAGAATACGAGAAATTATTTGATTAATACCGAGGTTGGTAGAAAGTTGGTCGTGGGACTTATTGCAAGATTATGTGTTAAAATAGTCATTAGCCGGTGTACGATGATCAATTTGCAGAACATGAACCATTCATGGACAGTATAACTGGCCGAAACTACTTTGTACCTCGAATTTTAAACACAAATATCCCATCTCAAAGTGTCCTTTATTGCCAAAAATACGCATCCAGAATGTGCATGTTTTTGTCATCGGGGTTTAATTTGGCTCAAACCGTCAATTTGAAATGTGAGGCTTCTAGAATTATAAATCTTTTCTTCCTTGGGTAGGGCTCGTGGATAGCGTGGCAAAGCAATTAAATCGTGGTTAGAGCTCCAACAAAATGTGATTATTCTAATTATCAAGAAACTATCGAAAAGTTATTAGAGAAAATATATTTATACGAAAGATTTGCGAAGCACTTAAATCCTTTGCATGTCAAACGTTAATATGTGAGGCTCTAATTATGGTACCTGTATTATAATACTTAATCGTTCTGCCATAGAAAAAATGCCATAGCCAATGTAAAAACTAAAAAAAACGGAAAATTTATGTGATCCATGAAAAAATCGTCAATGAGATGATAGTAATGAGAGACGAATGAGCTTTCGTGCTAGTGTCGGCTTGCCATCCAAACCTTCATCTTCGTGAGCGGCTCCCTTGTCTTTGACGGAGAATGTAGTTTATTGTCACTGTAAGAAGAGTAAGGTAATCACAGCACAAATGTACTATGAGCAGTTCGTTAGGTTTTCCTAAATTACTGGATTGATGTCCATTCTTCAACATGACAACGCCCCTGCGCGATTCGCATGCCTACTGAAGAGGATTGTTCAGGATCTTTAGTGGAAAATTCTATGGAATTCACCATACATTGCTGAACCTCGCTGACCACTGAGTTCTAGTTTCTTCTCTTTTTCCCAAATAATTTTCGCGCATTTTATCGGGATAGTAAGCTGATTCACTTCAGAAGATTTCGTTTTATTTAGACATTACATTAGAAAACTAGCTGAGTGTTGAGAAGAGGTTGTAACAACTAGTACTGAACACACAACTAACGAAGCATAATCAAGTGCATTTCATACACCTTACAAAAAGCATTTTAGACCTTTAAATAAATAATATAAATTATTCATTAGCTTAGTTCTACAAATCCTTGTGCAAAATCTGAAATGCCGCATTTCCGATAACTTTAGAGCAAATTAATTTAGTGAGTCAGCTAAAAAGTCATTAAAGTACATCTGCTGTACGTGGAATCGCTCAAACGAGCCAAAAGCAATGACACGTAGGCGTTAAGAAGTTGCCACCTAATTGTTTACATTGAATTTGATAACTTAGTTTTTCCTCTAAAAGGGATAAACTCATGGCGTTAATCAATCTTTGGCGGATGCATCATGCATTAAACTTCATTAAGTATCGTTTGGAAGTGATTGAATCCATATCTGGCCTTTACTGGCGGTGGCTTGGTGATGTATTGAGCCAGTGCTGCTATCGTCCCAGACAAGTCTGATACCAATTTGTCGACCCCGGATGCATGGAAGACTTGGTGGACCATGGGCGCAGGGATCGATTCCACGTGTGCTGCACGGCGCCTCCGAGCACTGCGCCACACGGACCCTCAAAGCCTTTTAGTTTTAGTTTTCCTAAGTTTTTCCCAAAAATCGAAATTTGTGATAAAACTTTATGACATCCTTATACACAAAACTAAACAAGAGCTTAACGTTTATGCTTCAGAAAAGCCATCGTAAGAATCGTGTTCCCTCTGACAACGTGAAACCATCCGCAATTTGTGACACCTCAATTACTAACTTAATCGTATTTAGAGAAAAATTTCTCATTAAGAGAGTAAGCCTAATGAATGTCTAACGTTCGAATTGAAATTATATCCCATAACTAAGTTGTAAAAGGTAATGCTATGAAACTACTTTTTCTCTGCATCTTAATTAAGGCGAAATCGATCGCTTGAAATGAGAACCATTGACGTCTAAAGAACTTCGCAAAAAAAGTTAAAGACAACTTCTTTGATTTTCAGACAATCAGGAAACCTTCTTCCGCTTCTTTAGGTTGAGGATTGCAAGCGATTGAACAATTAGCATTTCGTCAAACAGGACTAGATGATGTCAACACTAGCATAGCCATGGGTGTATTCTCACTTAAAGAAGGCGGCCTAAAATATTGGCTAAGAATCATTCAATATAAGGCTATGCTAACACGAGTATTTATTAAAGAATGAGTTAAATACTTTAATGGGCCGTCTTAGTAATTCTCTGACATTATTTGTCTACTCATCCTTACCAGCAGCAATTTTCTCGAATGCTACCGCCATCTGCATTGCGATTATTCTGCGATGATGAGTTTCGTGCTGAAACCTCACTTTCGATAAGGATATCAGTCCATGTATATATCGGCGCTGTTTCTCATTAGCAGTCGAGATTCTTCGATCGAAAAGGAGTGTAAGGCTCAGCTGATTTATAAATTCGCATTGCGATGGACAATAAAACGCTTACTTTGAAAGGCTTTGGATAGGACTTGATCGCTGAACTGATCACAGAGTCAGGTTGAGCTTTATATAGTTACGTTCTTTATTTGTTATCGAACAATGTACAAAACAAAACGACAAATCCCGCGTCCGACTTTCTATTAACCTCGGCATTGACGGAATAATTCTTTCTACTTCTGTTCAGCAAACACGGGGTGTTATTTTATTTCTTCATTTACGTACAAGGTAACGTTTCGGCGGATTTCACCTTTCTCAGAGCCTGGAAAGGTAAAGTCGACAGCAATTTATTCGGCTAAACATCTCCATAACCAAACAGAGAAAATGCTGAACCAAAATTTCAATCACATTGAACACAGAGTCTTTGCACACTCACCGCTTTCTAGGAGTCTTCCACTGAATATGGCACGTGAAAACCAACCGCACAGAGTTCACACAGAATCGTATTGTGCTCATCTCATCAAAATAACAGGCTTATATACTGCCCAACATCACGTGCGATAATGAGGCATTCCTCCCTGCGGTTCATTTTCGGAGTCTTGGAATTGATCCAGAATGCCTCTAGAGTTTTGCGGGCTTGTGTTCTCGATTCTTGCGCGAAGATCGTAACTTCTACTTCAAAATCTTCTCCGTTATGTCTCTGCGTCCTATGCGTGCCTAGTAGAGTATTTGGTTTACGTTTGCCGACTAGGTGTTCTTTTATATGCACGCAGAATGGTCTACCGGTTTCTCCAAAGTATTCGTCCCCGCACGCGTTACAAGAGATCAGATAGACTGTACCCAAACTCATGCAGTCACCGTCTCTCCGATTGGGGCAAAGTATGCAATTTTGCGTTGCACATAGACGGTCGTATAGGCGGTTACGAACTAGCTGGCGCCTTAGATTACTCGGTGGAATTTCAATTATCGTTACCGAATTCTCTAGACCGGCCCTTCTTAAACAGCATTTTATATTTCGTCAAGTAGGGATTCGTCAAGTATTCGTCTTCATTAAGTATCGTTGGAGGTCATTGAATCCATATCTGGCCTTTACAATGGCTGGCGGTGGCTTGCTGAAGTATTGAGCCAGTGCTGCTATCGTCCCAGACAGGTCTGGTACCAATATGCCGACGCCGGAGGGATGGAAGCCTTGGTGGGCCATGTACGCAGGGATCGATTCCACGTGTGTGTTACAGGGCGCATCCGACCACTGCTCCACACGTAGCCCTCAGTTACTTGAAATCAAACAAAATTATATCACTTCCACGGCACGTTGCTCATCACTACAACTAAATGAGTACATCTGTCTCAGTGTGTTTTCGATATCATGTTTTGCTGTGACTTTGTTTTCTGTAAAATAAATAGATAATAAAGCAAAGGTGTTTAGAAAGCGTTGTGACCGGGAGCTGCTGTAAACTCATAGTTGTTCTCAGCGCACCACAGCTGTAACAGAGATTTTATACCTTCAGCACTACCATCTTTTTTTGAAAATCAAAGCTCACGGAAATGAAAACTGGAAAAAAGATTGTGAAATGGCTCGTCGCTCACTTCTGCTCACCATATCTCCGATGGGTTAAAAGAACATATTTTAAGCAGAATTGCCAATTAATTGAAAATCAACATTAAATAATTCGCCTTTGGCTCCTTAACACCGAATAAATGCGAATAACTAGCATAGCTCATAGAAAGTGGAAAGGAATGTGTCTAAGAAGGGAAGGATACGATCCTACTGTGGAGGTTAGAGTTGAACAAATCATACTACACTTTTCTCGTTGTATGCCTGCAGTAGGTGTACTGCGGCAGATACAGTAGATTTCTTACGCTTTTTCTTTTTATTCTTCAATTTTCACGAAGCGCGAGGAATTTTGCAGACGCCAGAACACACTTCGCTTTGAATTTATAGGATCGAACAAATATTCTTTCTATTTAGTCTCAAGAGCTATGTTAAGCTTCTTCTAGCTCATCACTGCTTACCAGCCTGTGACTACGCCGTATTGGGTCTTTATATGTGTTCACTCTTAACTTACTTTCCAGGCTTTTTATTCATTCTCATGTTGCAAGAAGCTGTAAGAGCGAAGCGGAGCGGGTGTGAGGGGTGAATCCCACTGCGTACCGCAGATCGACACCGAGAAGCATGCGCTAGTACGGTGATGCTCCAATCCTTCGTTTTAGTAAACGTATGGCCTCCATACGGGATGGAAACTTTGGTTTGCTCAGTGGGTGTGAGAGTGCAACGCGGTAACATCGTGCTCAGAGTCCTGCAACCAATCGCTGAAATAAAAATAATGTACCAGTAATTTTCTGATTAACTTCAACTCTAACTGTAAAGATTCTACCTAAAAAACTGTCGCTACACCTTATAAAGATGTTCCTCTACAAGAAGATAAAATTTCGCTATAAACTTTGTTAACATTACATGACTCAATAACTGTGCGTTAAACCAGTTTGCGCAATTTTGTAAAAAAGAGAAACGTTTTTTTTGAATGTTCTATAACAACACTAATGCAAGATAGCTAAGAGACAGGCGAAACGAAGGACTCGCATGGTATGGTGGTGAACGCGTTACTCCCTGGAAAGGACAATAGCGCGCTCGTTCCCCACCGCAGACACCTGCGGTCCGGAGTTTAGCAAATATCTCAGCATTATAGAAACTAATGCAAGGATTAAAATGCTACTAAAGAGGTCTATTTGTAGTACTGTCTCGAGTTCTGGCCTTCTGACTCTCGTCTTCTATACGGATTGTTCGTGCTTTTGGTTCGATCTGCTCTTCCACTCGCACTGATCTCTTGGTGTCATTGGCGAATCGCATCTATTCTTAACGAACAATCGCGAAAATTTCGACGATTATCCAGTGGATGTAGTACGTGAGTATAAAGTTTTATTCCCTAAAGCAAAACTCTACCCAGTATTTCAACGCCTGCGACGGCAATCAAAGCTTGCTCTACACAGTGTGCATTTGTTTCAACACCTACGGACCAGAGTGGTCCTCGTCCAGAGTGCAGTGTGAGATCAACCATCTTGAACTCTCTTTATGTATCGCCGTGTTAGATAGAAATGTGGGAAAGGGCCGATGGCGTCATGCAGATGAATGCTTGCCTCAAGTGGAAGCGGGAGCGGTACTATGTCAAGAAATTTGTTACAGACATAGGAGAGTCTGAAAAAAATCTGAGCTTGAGAAGGCACTAACCTAGAATATGGGTACCACAGTTGAAGCATATTGTCGGATATAGCAGCTAGCTACGGTTATCGCTTTCAGATCACAGAAAATCCTTCTTCACCTTGATTTCGTGATTGGGGAGTGGAGCTACCAGAATTTAGGACTCCTGTATTCATACCTGTTCAGTAATGACCACGTAATCTTACCGTCGATCCACTGGAACTTCTTCTCAGACTTCTGCTTACGGAAGTGAACCAGTCCTGCTCGAAATCATCTCTTTGGGCGACCTTTACAGATAACATAATTGCTATAAAGGTTTTGATATTAACGACTTAGAAAACTAGAAATCTGGCAACTCTTTGCGATTACCGACTTTATGACAACACTTTTTCGTTTTTTGAAACCTTCCACGTTTTTTAGTCACGAGATGATTTTGCTTTCTCGTATTGGTATTCCTCTATGAGGTCGCTGCGTTCCACTAGTAAGTTTTTGATTAATCCGGAAAGAACCTAGTACCGCAGAATGTTTTTTTTTTGTTCTTCGTTGGGTATGGGAAAGGCAATGATAAGAGGAACAGAGCAATACGCTCGTGGCGCTTGATTTTGCCTCGCTTGAGATTCACCAATTCAGACTATGGTGGCATATTTAGTACCATACTTGTTCTAAAAAAGCTCCTTCAGTTTGAAAAGTTCTCGATGAGCACTTCCGAGGGTTTTTTGAGTGATGGATGCTAGACAACGAAAAAAATAAATCATGCTGGGATCTACACAAAATGGAATTGAGTCGCATAAATAAAGGTAAATAAATACAGCCCCGATAAAGCTGCGATATTTACTAAACTCAGACCCAAACCGGATTCGAAATGTGGCTCTCGAAATTTCGCTCATCTATTAGCAACCGCAGCACCGGTACTCTCGCTTTGCCCTTACCTCAGACAGCTTTCTTCTCTGACATGAGAAAATTATGGGCTGTAAGTGAAAAGTTTGTGCAAATAAATAGTTTCTCAATCACCTTGGGTGAATTCACTGAAGCGCTTGCTTATTTACCGTATCTGCTTCAATTGGCATCGCTACGATTTCTCTTTCGTTCATTTCCCACGCTGTGGTACGCTTATATTGTTCCAAGAAGGATAATACCATTGAGATATTTCCAGTACGTCGCAAGCGATTGACATTAAAAAGAAACAGCGACTACAAACGCTTCTACTTGCGATGGTTGTTATTTTCGCTGTGTCAAGTCTACCTATCGACCTTTTCAATGTTTTACAGGATATGGAGATCGTCTATAAGGTGCAGCAATAATTTAATTTCTGCATTTAAGAAAACTCGACATGAATTGGCTTTGTATCATATCTAAAGTCACTAAATCAATTTCTAATGCTGAACCGAATTTTACAAAAACGATTTCTAGAAGAATTATTGCTTTCAATATATCAAAGTGAATTGAGCCAAATTTCATTTTACGAATGAATTCCTTGATTCAGGCAAGGAATTTTAATTTCAGTTGTTAATTAATAAGAAAACAAGCACAGGGAGTAAATGCTTAGTTTAACTGGGTTCAATGCAAATTTAGGCTCCCCAGACCCATCTCGTTGACGGGTGATTGCTGATGGCACTGAACGATAGAACTAGCTGAGAGACAGGCGAAACAATAGACCAGCATGGTGTAGTGGTGAACGCGTTAGGGTAGGAAGACGTAAAAGGGAAAAGAAAATTCCCGGAAAGGGTAGTGACGCGTTCGTTCCTCACCGCAAGCACCTGCGGTCCCGAGTTTTGCAAATGGCTCAACATCTTCTGATTGTATTTCGCATAATACCCTGTCGTAAAAATTGTAGTAAGCAGCAAATAAAAATTAGCACACGAAGTAGAATTTGTAATTGATTTTCAGTCAAATGCTTGTTGCATACCTCTATTTCTTACCGATCAAGTTTATAACAGTGTTAAAGTGGCAAAATCATTCGAACTGTGTATCCACAGAGTGTCGAACATTCAGCGACAATTAGGCCAACTTTTATGAGAACCAATTTCAGGTCGAGACAGTGTCGAAAACTTTACGACAATCCATATTTTTCTTTTCTCATTGGCTTGCAATGGCCGGTGCGCTGCTGAATCCACTCGTTTATGCTTGGTGGAATACAAACTTTCGGCGACAAATCCAGGTGAGAAGCACGCCGTATTTCGATGCTGCCCGACAACGAATGCCATCGAATAGATTGAACTTCAGGATTTCAGGATATCATTAATGGTCATCGGCGGAATTCGCTTAAAAGGAGACCGCACTCCGCTGTGGATTCCGTGTGTAAAAATCAGCAAAGGTTTTTAATTTGAAGAGCTTATCTACTTTTGCAGGGTCGTACGAATTCTGATTCCACATCACTCAGTCTTAGTTCTAGGTGCGATGAACGAGTTGTGGGTATGCTTCGTGACAGACGTGAATGTGATAATGATGCACAGGTTTAAGGAAAACTGTCTATTAAACTATGCCATTATTTACAGTTTCTTCATAGCATGAAACTATGTCGAAGAGGATGTGTTAAGCAGAAAAAGTGTTAATTTGTCTACTTCGCTTTCTAAATGTTGTAAACTTCGCTTCAAGTAAAGTTTTAACGGAAATGGTTAAATGTTCTGTTTAACTCGAAAACTGGCCCAAGAACCAAAAAATAAAAAAAAAACCAAAGACAAAACCATGGGTTTAGAAGAAAATACCAAATCCATTCAAGTAAAGAGGAACTAACAGTTTCTAATGTAGGGGTTACATCTGAAATTAATAACTCATGACGGCGATGAAGCGAAGTGCTTTCCCTCATCAAAACGATACAAGTTAACCCCAGTTTGTGGAAATTCTACTTCATTTTTTCATTCAACCCCGCTTGAATAGTTAACATTTTATTATAGTGCTAAATTCGCATAATGGTTCTCGCTTTCTTCAATACGACGGTAATTTGGGAGCATTATTGTAGACATGAAAAACACAAAACAGCGCATGATGGGAACGCAGATGAATAAGACTTCATTTAAAAGGAAAAGTCTGTGAAATCTGGAAAGGACAGCACTGAAGCCATTCATCAGACGATTTGCCATAATGAGTCGCACTAATCATTAACGATATTAATAGCTATTATCACAGAAAATGTTTTTACTTCTCATATTCTTTTAAAACATAAGTATCACAGCAGAAATTTTTCCAGAGAGCAGTTTGAAAAGATGAAGTCGACATTTGCTTCTGGAGAAGTTGATGCTTAGTAATAAACTTCCTGATCAGATATGGAAAAGAAAATAAGAGGCGTAGAAGGCGAAACCTAATACAAAACACAAAGTTTCGATATTAAAATGATTTACTACATACAATGAGAAGCTGCCGTTCGCCATACTGCTTGGCGTCTTATGAATATTAGGTCGTTCTTTGGCCACGCTTTTATACTCTCCAATTTCCTCTGAATATTTTTTTATTCTAATTGGACAAGCTCCTGAAGTTTTCCACTTTATAGGACTCAGTTGACATAGTAAAATATTCGTGTTGAATATCTCGAACCTGTGAATTCGCGAACCGAATCAACGTGTGCTCACACATCAGTGAACGTATTCCATCGTACTCCTGAAAAGAATACCAAAGGTCAATGAAAAAAACCGCAATGTTGAGCTCTCAAATAAAGAGCAAAAGCAGATTGGCTGAGTTCTTGTTTATATCAATCCTCATCTAAGGGATTTTTCACTTTCGAGAAAGGCGAACATTATCGCTGATCATGAATATCTCTTATCGGCAAGACCCACACAAAGATCAACAGCACCTTCACAAGGAGAAGAGGTACTGAATACTTTGCAGAAAATAAACGATTTCCTGCTTTTACTTTTATGGAAGAAAAGGCAGTTCTATGACCGTCATGTTTTAGAAGAAGTCCTATTCTGCGATTTTAAAGATTAGTTTGCTAGAATAAAAAAAAGAAAAGAAATATTATCCTATCTAAGAGTGGCACTCTTCACACGTCAGGCATTATATTGCAGCCGCATACGAGCGGATTACTTAGAGAGAGGATACATCAAGAGATGTTCATAAAAACGTCATAACATCACTTTTCACTTTAAAATCTGATGACCCAATATAGGTATTTCACCATTCAGACTCTAGAATACAGAAAATGACAAAGAACTGCAGACCAGGGATCAGACAACACTTCTGCCAGTGTCTTTCAGGCTGGGACTGGTCCTTTTCAAAACCAAGGTCCGTTCTTCGTGGCAGATCCACTGAACGGCATGTCAATGGAGCGCTTTTCAGATGCGCAGTGAAATCAATACGAACGGTCCGAAACGTAGCGCAGCGTGCATAATGAAGTCAGTGCGCACGGTTCTGAAAAGGGTGACGACGAACTCGCACTTTTCGCAAGCAGCATAGTACACACTGAAATTAGAGGACCCAGATCAATGGTAGATTTCATGCAAGATTATTACGGTTAGATCCTGGAAAAAACGCTCGCAGTGCAAGTTTTTACTTCCAATGCGTACACTCTAAACGATGAAGGAGTATCAGCTAACAAATAATTCCAAATTGTTTCTACAGTTATAATAACCAACCTCTGTATCACTGCTATATAGTGAATGCCAAGGTCGTTAGGTTACAGCGACAAGTGCAGATGTCTTGGTGCAAAAGAAGATCCCTACTAGGTCTTCATTTTTACGCCACTGTCTTTTCGAGAATGAGATTAAGCAAAAAATACGTGAGTGTAAGCGACATTCAATGGAATGGTTGTGATTTAGATATATGAGGAAGAAAATCGAACCTGTGAGGAAACCAAGGTAAGATGGGTTCTTGTGTCGTATGTAAAGCTCAACTATGTAACATCATGAAAATTGATCGAATTACCAGCGTTGTCAATATATCGCTACTGTTTTTCTCCATGCGTTCTCTGACAAAGGAACTTACTAGAAGGTGTTTTGCATAATGGGCTTATAAAAGAAGCGATTCCAATCACAGAGTATCTGTTTCGCTTATTGAGCTGAAACAATGAACCACCGCTGTCTCCCTGCAATATTGCACACTCGTGGCAGGTCTTCTCTCAGAGCTCCAGAAAGGCTTTTGTTTTTTGAAATCCCTAACTTATTCACTACGCAGATTATTCACGAAAGAAATTTCTCGAGTTACGGGAAACGCGTGAAAAAAAAACGTTGTCGTCAACGAGCTTCTTAGTTTCTTAAAACACGCTGTAGCACTTAGCCGTTGTAGAATCGTTCTACTTAGAGCAACACATCTCCTATTAGTTGCAAAATCGCTGACAAAGGACTTTTTGTTAGGTTTATAAACATGCGCTCATCACTTCAAACACAGGAATAGGCAACGGAGCTGTGGCACATTTAGAGCCTAGACGTTTCCAGAGTAAGCTTTAAAAACATGAAGATCGATCACTTACGCCGCAAATGGAGGAGCTTGTGCTTTTCGCCACGAGATTGTTTGTTTTCTTAAATTCGAATACTCTTTTATACGTGACTATCTGTAATCGTTTTAAATACGGTTTCTCCAGAGTTGCTGAAAAATCATTATTAACTAATCGAGAAAACTGATTATCCACCTTTCTGAATGTTCTTTTACACGTTTCTCTAACGGAAGATTCCTCGTTGAAGAGAACGAAAAGAAATACAACCACAACGTTGCTGAGATATTTGCAAAACTCTGGACCGCAGGTGTCTATGGTGGGGAACGAACGCGCTATTATCCTTTACGGGGAGTAACGCGTTCACCACCACACCATGCGGGTCCTTTGTTTCGCCTGTCTCTCAGCTATTTCTATCGATCTTTTTGCCACAGCAACCATAGACACCATAGACACCTGCGGTCCAGAGTTTTGCAAATATCTCAGCAACGTTGTGGTTGTATTTCGCTTAATAACCTGCCATGAAAATTATAGAAGGCAGAAAACAAAACGTTAAACAGAACGAAAAGATAATGTTTAAAAGATAAGGTTACTAAGCGAAATACAACCACAATGTTGATGAGATATTTGCAAAACTCTGGACCGCAGGTGTCTATGGTGGGGGACGAAAGCGCNAATGTTTAAAAGATAAGGTTACTAAGCGAAATACAACCACAATGTTGATGAGATATTTGCAAAACTCTGGACCGCAGGTGTCTATGGTGGGGAACGAACGCGCTATTATCCTTTATAGGATAGCATAATAGCATAAAGGATAATAGCGCGTTCGTTCCCCACCATAGACACCTGCGGTCCAGAACGAAAAGAGTTTATCGCATCGAATTGTACTGCATTAGGGCTTAGGGCGTCAATTCTTGATTGCTGGCCTTCAACTAGATTCTGTTTGAAAATCCTAGATGAAATTTTAAATGAGTAACTTCTCTTCACAACTAACTATGTGTTTAAAAGCACATTTTCTACCGAAGTACCCACGTACTTATTCAAGAAGGTTATTTGCTCTAAAAAACCAAGCAGAGGGCGGATAGCGCAATGGTAGTGATGTCGGCCATCACGGCCACGATGCTTGTTCGATTCCACATCGAACCAACAAAGCCTCTCATCCCTCCGGGGTCGAGAAATTGGTGCCGGACTTGTTCTGGGAAAATAATTACCCTCTGCAATCCAATTGAGAGCGCTCCATCCCGGCTATCTCAGAGCTCCAGGGCGAACTGCTCGACTAGCATTCTGCAACATTCAAGATGAAGTAAAAAATCCTCAAGCAACAACGGAAGCCACACGTTGAGTTGGAAGATCTTCGTGGACAATGGACGCGGGGAAACGAATCGAATGTGAGAAGTGCCGGGACCCGCAAAGTAGGCGTGAAGACGGGTGATATAAAATAAAATTAAATAAATAAATAAAAATTACTAAGTAACCCGTTCCAGAGCGCGACCAAGTTTATCGAAGACCATCGCCACCTTCGTGGATTGCTTCAAACTTTTCATGTTGTGATTATGTTTCTTTCAAGAGATTTTTAGCATCTGCTCTTAGTTTTTTCTGAATAGAAATTTCGAACCACTTTCTTATTCCGATCCTTGTATGATCGTGCTGGAACGGTTAGTTTCTCCTTTTTAATAGTTGATACTGTTTCTATAACACGCTGGCATCTTTGGTTCGCAAGAACTGGGACATTCAACCGTCCTAACTCTGAACCACATGTCATAGATAATTATGGCTAGTGCTTAGATGAAGCGCCTCAGTGTAGTTTCAGCTTTTTCCTTGACTTAGTACTATTATTATATGCTTGGATCGTTCAACAAATAATTTCGAAATTCCTTCTGGACAAAACATAAGAATAATGAAGAATCCAGACCATAGCGATACTTGGAATACGTTGCAAATTGTTGGTTTGGTATCCGATTTTGAGTGAGCCTTATCATTGAAAATCCATTACTCAGAACAAGAATACAGACAGTGCTTTCAAAGAAGTTACTGTAGGAGAACTAAAATTAATGATTACAGTCTACGTTTCGTGAATTAGAGCTAAACATGTCGCGG